TTTCATTTAAGAGAGAAAACATGGGTGCCATTTAAGTTTGAGGTTAAATGCTTCAATTTAGTAGGGTTTTTATTGCCAAAAATGTGGGTGGCCCTTTGAGAAAATAATTTATGAAAATAAATATTTAAATTCTAGAGAAAAATGAGAATTTTTCATTTCAGGCAGTTTCGGTCGACCGGTTGTAGTCCAGTTGACACTGCACAGCCTTTAGTGTTTCTATCATAACTTCTTCTCCCGATATCCGATTGAGATAGTTCAAAATGTGTTGGAAAGCTAACTCAAAGAGATACAACTTTTATTTAGTATCATTTTCCAAATCGAATGTTTCTTATGTCTCAAATGGGTCTCAAATGAGACTAAAAATCTGAAGTATACTTTAGTAATTCAATATTCATGTCTTAGTGCCACTAAGGTGTCTAGAATTATTTGGGGTTCTACGTCCCCCACACCTTAATTAAAATTATTTGGGCCATGTCCGTAACGCATTCTGGCCACGACAGGAATGCAGCCTGATTTTCATGCATTTCTAGGCCATTTGTGGGCATGGTGTACAAGACATTTCTAGGGTGCAGCCCAACTTTCAGGCATTTCTAGGTAATTTTTGGGACACAATGTGCAGGCCATGTTTGGAAAGCATCCGGGCCATGGCAGTTAGGCAGTTTCTAGGCACGCTGTGCAGGCCATGTTGGGGATGCGTCTTGGCCGTGACAGGGATATAGCCTAATTTCAAGTCATTTCTAGGCAGTTTTTGGGACACGGTGTGTAGGCTATGTCGAGGAAGCGGCAGGGACACAGTCGAATTTCAGGTATTTCTAGGCAATTGCGGGGGCACGGCGTGCAGGCCATATTCGGGGCACGTCCTGGCCACAGCAGAGATGCAACCTGATTTTCAGGCATTTCTAGGCAGTTTGTGGGCACGGTGTGTAGGCCATGTCCAGGATGCAGCCATACTTTTAGGCATTTCTGGGCAGTTTTTGGGACACGGTGTACAGGCCTTGTCCGGGACGTGTTCGGACCATGGCAGGGGCGAAGGTTGATTTTCAGGCATTTCTGGGTGGTTTCTAGCTACGGTGTGCAGGCTTTGTCCAGGGTACGTCCTGACCATAACAAGGATGCTGCCTGATTTCCAGGCATTTCAAGGTAGTTTTTGGGGCACGGTGTGTAGGCCATGTCCGTGATGTGTCCTGGCCACGACAGGGACGTAGCCTGATTTTCAAGCATTTCTAGGTAGTTTGTGGGCACGGTGTACAGGCAATGTTCGGGACACGTTCCGCCCACGTTAAGGAAACAAGCCGATTTTCAACCAAATGAAGGAAGTACGGTGTGTAGGCCATGTCAGGGGTGCAGGCACGTTCCTAGGCATTTTGGGCAGTTTTTGGGACACAGTGTGTGGGCGAAATTCGGGACAATACATGGCTATGACAAGGATGCAGCCTGACTTTCAGGCATTTCTGGGATGTTTTCGGGCCCGGTGTGTAGGCCATGTCCTAGAAGCAACCTAATTTTCAGGTATTTCTCGTCAGTTTTTGGGTCACGGTGTGTAGGTCATGTCAAGGACAGAGCCCGATTTTCATCTGGTGCATGGTGTGCAGGCAATGTCCGGGACGCGTCTAGGTCGCAGTAGGGATGCAACCTAATTTCAAGGCATTTTTAGGTAGTTTTTGGGACACAGTGTGCAAGCCACGTCCACAACGCATCAGGGACACAGCTTGATTTTCAGGCATCTCTTGGCAGTTCCTGGGACACGATGTGTAGGCCATGAACGGGACGCCTTTGGGCGACGGCAGGGACACAGCCTGATTTTCAGGGATTTTTGGGAAGTTTTTAGGCACGGTGTGCAGGCCATGTATGGGACATGTCCTGATCGTGGTAGGAACGTCGCCTGATTTTCAGGCATTTGTATGCAGTTTGTGAGCATGGTGTGCCGGCCATATCCAAGACGTGTTCTTGCCGTGGTAGGGAGCAGCCCGATTTTCAAGCATTTCTTGGCATTTTCTGGGACTCGATGTCCAGGCCATGTCAGGGACGCGTCATGGCCACAGTAGGGACGGAGCCTAATTTTCAAGCAATTCTGGGCAGTTTCTGGGACACGGCGTGCAAGGCATGTCCAGGATGCAGCAGGGACGTATCCTGACTTTGAGGTATTTTTTGGCTATTTCTGGAACACAGTGTGCAGGCAATGTTCAGGATGCGTCTGGGCCACGGCAGGGATGCAGTTTGGTTTCCAGGCGTTTCTAGGCAGTTTCTAGGGCACGTTGTGTAGGCCATGTCCAGGATACTGCAGGGACACATCCTAATTTTCATGTATTTCTAGGCAATTTCTTGGACACGGTGAGCAGGCAATTTTCGGGATGCGTCGGGGCTGCTGCAGGGATGCAGCCTAATCTCTAGGCATTTCTGGGAATTTTTTGGGCACGATGTGTAGGCCACATCCGGGGCGCTTCCTGGCCGCAGTGGGGACGCATCCTGATTTTCAGGTATTTGTAGGCAGTTTGTGGGCACGGTGTGCAGGCCATGTCCGGGATGCATCTTGGCCTCGGTTGGGGTACAGCCTGATTTTTAAGCATTTCTTGGCAATTTCTAGGACTCGGAGTGCAGGCCATGTTCGGGACGTCTCATGGCCACGGTAGGGATGGAGCCTAATTTTTTGGTGATTCTAGGCAATTTTTGGGATGCAGTGTGCTGGCCATGTCCAAGATGTGGCAGGAACGCATCCTAAATTTTAGGTATTTTTAGGTAGTTTCTGGAACACGGTGTGCAAGCAATGTTTGGGATGCATCTGGGCTGTGGCTAGGATGCAGCCTGGTTTCTAGGCATTTCTAGGTAATTTTTGGGACACGGTGTGCAAGCCATGTCCAGGATGCTGGAGGCACACATCCAGATTTCACGTATTTCTAGGCAATTTCTTAGACACGATGTGCAGGCAATTTTTGAGATGCGTCGGTGCTGCTGCAGGGATGTAGCCTAATTTTTAGGCATTTATAGGCAGTTTCTAGGACATGGTGTACAGGCCATGACGGGGACGCGTCCGGGTCACGGCAGGGACGCAGCTTGATTTTCAGGCATTTTTGGGAAGTTTTTCGGCATGGTGTATAGGCCACGTTTGGGATGTGTCGCGGCCAAAGCAGGGATGGAGCTTGATTTTCAGGCAATTTTGGGCAGTTTCTAGGACACGGTGTGCAGGCCATGTCCAGGATGCCACGGACGCATCCAAACTTTCAGGTATTTTTAGGCAGTTTCTGGAACACGGTGTTCAGGCAACGTCCGGGACACGTCTGGGCTGCGGTAGGGATGCAGCCTAGTTTCTAGATAGTTTTCTGGGATACGCTGTGCAGGCTATGTTTAAGATGCTTCAGGGACACACAAAGATTTTCACATATTTCTAGGTAATTTTTTGGATACGATGTGCAAGCCTTGTCCGGGGCGCGTCCAGGCTACGGCCGGGACACAGCTTGATTTTCAGGCATTTCTGAGAAGTTTTTGGGCACGGTGTGCAGACCATGTCCTAGAAGCAGCCTGAACTAACACCCTATATTTATAAGGTCCAAAATAAAAGATATAATTGGAATAAAATAGATCTTTTAAACTAAATAAGACTTATATATGAATCATGATAGTACTAAATAATCAGAAATAATTTTCTCATTATTTTACAACACTCCCTATTTGGTGATTATTTGTACAATAACCATCTCATTGAAACCATGTTTGACAAAAAAATCCTATGGGACAAAAATGCCAACAAATTAAAAAAGAGACAAATAAATTGGAGTAATAAAATGATGTTTCGTTAAAACATTGTCAAGAAAATCCAGTGAGATAAAACTGATTTTAATTCTTATATCAAGTTATTCATGTCTCGTACATCAATGTCTTCAATATTACAATTTCTGGTGAAGCATCGCATTGTCTTGCATAGTCTTTAAATAACACTATCTTTATAAGAGATATTTTATCAATATTTGACAACTGTAGTGATATGATAATTTAAAAAATAGCTCTTGTTGATAATCAAATAGGGGCTTAAATAGAATGATTTTTTAATAAATATTTCTTCTTGTTAGAAGATCATCTTACAAGAACTTCCCAAAAAAAAAAAAAGATTCAATATGATTTTCTCATAAAGCTCTTTTTAGAAGAATCAAAAGTAAAAGTCGAAGCAGAAATTATCCCAAATATATCCTAACTCGGTTAGTTAAAACTACGATAGTGTTCCGTGATCGTTAAACCTCGAAAGATTGTTGATATGGCACTTTATTTGATTGAAATTTTATTATGAATTCGGTGACTAATCAACAATAAAAATCGTAAAAATTAATTATTAAATTGGATATCGAGCTTCTCACGAAAGTGTTCTCAAAATAGTCAAAACACGAGGATTAAAAGATCTTTCTAAATTAATTACAATTGACACGATCACAGTGGTACTTAGTACCGTGCTTACTTTTGAAGCAACAATGTATTATTGTTTCATTCCCAATTAATGCAGAAAATATGTTAAAGTTGGGAAAATCTTTTGTCAAATTTTTATTTAGCACATGTTATGTACAAGTTTATATTACAACACAAGGGGAAAAACAAACAAAAAAAGAAAAAAATCATCTGGGAAATATATTGTCTCCGTTTGATAAAGATTATAAAACATTTACAAACGGGTTAATTTCACAAATGGTCACTAAAACTTGCACGAAAATTACAAAATGGTCACTAAGGTTTAAAACTTAAGGTAACGATCACTTAAGTTTTAGGTGGCGCTTTAAAAAATGGTCATCAAAGTTTAAAAACTTGTAGAAACGGTCACTGAAGTTTAAAAACTTTCAGAAATGATCACTGAAATTTAAAAACTTACAGAAATGGTCACTGAGAAGTTTCTAGGTCACGATGTGCAGGTCATGTCTGGGACACGTCCGAACCACGACAAAGAATAATGAAAATAAAATGTAGCTCAACGCTACAACCCATAAAAAATAAAACTAGTATACACAACAAAACCAAACTTCCTACCGCCCAGTGCCACAAACAAACCCCTCCGCTACCTTTAGACTAGTACCACCGTTAGTCGAGGCTTGCGCCGGCGCATGGTAGTGGTGATGGTGATGATGAGGAGAAGGTGCCTGCACTGTAGATTGGTGGTCGGAGCCATGTTTATCGGACAGAACCATAACCTCTAGCTTTTGACCCTTCTGGCATTGTTCTTCAGCTCCACTGATGATGAAAAATGGACCTGATTTTTCTAGTGAAATTGTAGTTTCCCCATCGTGGAGTTATTTTATTAGATTGCGTTGTTGTAGATTTTGTACTCTTCCTCAGTCACTTCCAGCACTGAATCAGCCTTGGCATCATACTTCAGAACTAAACAATCCCCAATCTGAAAATGAGTTTTCTCAGCCCATTTGTTGAACTCGTCAACCGAAGATGGAACTCCCTATAAATTATTTTCACCGTCTATTACGAACTCTCTTGCTTCAGAAAGAACACACAACCAAAACACGACGGTCAAAAATAAGAAAATATATTTGAGTGAAGCCATTTTAAGTGATAAACCAAGAGATTTTCAAACAAAATTTGAGTAATTTTGTAGACAATAGAATAGAATGGTTTAGGGTTTAGGGTTCAAGGTTTCGGGTTCAGAGTCCAGGGTTCAAGGTCCAGGGTCCAGCGTTGGTTTAGGGCTTAGGGTTTAGGGTATAGGATTTCTGGGACACGGTGTGCAGGACATGTCCAGGACGCAGCCTTATTTTCAGGCATTTCTAGAAAGTTTCTGGGACACGGTGTGCAGGCCATGTCCAGGAAGTGTCTTGGCTACGGCAGGGACGCAACCTGATTTTCAGGCATTTCTCGACAGTTTGTGGGCACAGTGTGCAGGCCATGTCCGAGACGCATCCTGGCCGCAGCAAGGATGTAGCCTGATTTTCATGCATTTCTGGCCAGTTAGTGGGCACGGTGTGCAGGCAATGTTTGGGACGCTTCCCGACCACGTTAGGGACGTAAGCAGATTTTCAACCAAACGAAGGAAGCACAATGTGCAGGCGATATCTGGGGCGCAGGTACGTCCCAAGCATTCTGGACAGTTTTTGGGACACGGTGTGCAGGACATATTTAGGACAAGTCATGGCCACATCAGGGACGCAAGGACGTGTCCGAGCATTGGCATGGACGGAGCCTGGTTTTCAAGCATTTTTGGGCTATTTTTGGGCATGATGTGTAGGCCTTGTCCAGGACACATCCTGATTGCGGTAGGTATGCAACCTAATTTCCAGGCATTTCTAGGCAGTTTTTGGGGCACGGTGTGCAGGCCATATCTAGGACGCGTCCTGATCGCGGTAGGTACGCAACCTGATTTCCAGGCATTTCTAGCCAGTTTCTGGGGTACGATGTCCAGGCCATGCTCGGGATGCGTCCTGATTGCGATAGGTATGCAACCTGATTTCCAGGCATTTCTAGGTAATTTTTGGGCATGGTGTGCAGGCAATGTCCAGGATACAGCAGGGATGCAACTTGATTTTCAAGTATTTTTAGGCGATTTCTGGGAAGTAGTGTGCAGGCCATGTTCAGGACGCATCCTAATTATGGCAGGGACGCAGCCTGATTTTTAGGCATTTCTAGGCAGTTTTTGGGATATGGTGTGCAATGAATGTCCAGGATACAGTAGGGATGCAGCCTGATTTTCATGTAATTCTAGGCAGTTTCTGGGAAGCGGTGTGCAAGCCATGTCCAGGACGCGTCTAGGCCGCGAAAGGAAGCAGCCTGATTTCCAGGCATTTCTAGGCAGTTTCTGGGACATGGTGTGCAGGCCATGTACAGGACGCGACAGGGATGCAACCTAATTTTCAGGCATTTGTAGGCAGTTTCTAGGACACGGTGTACATGCTATGTTCGGGAAACGGTAGGGATGTAGCCTGATTTTCAGGCATTTTTGGACAATTTCTGGGCACTGTGTCCAGTCCATGTTCAGGATGCATCCTGGCCACGGTAGGGATACAGCCTGATTTTTAGACATTTCTGGGAAGTTTTTGGGCACAGTGTGCAGGCCATGTCCGGGACGCATCCCGACCACAGCAAGGACGCAGCCTGATTTTTAGGCATTTCTAGGTAGGTCATGTCTGGGACAGGTCAGGGACAGAGCCTGATTTTCAAGTATTTCTAGGTAGTTTTTGAGCATAGTGTACAGGCCATGTCCAGGACGTGTCCTGGCCGGGTGGGGAAGCAGCCTGATTTTCAGGCAGTTTATGGGCACGGTGTGCAGGTATGTCCGGACAATGGTAGGGACGCAGCCTGATTTCCAAGCATTTCTAGGTAATTTCTAGGTCATAGGGTTTAGGGTTTTGGGGTTTTTTTAATTAATTTAGAATTAAAAGCAGGAAGCATATACATGACAAAGAATAATGAAAATAAAATGTAGCTCAATATTACAACACATGAATAATAGAACTAGGCTACACAACAATACCAAACTTCCCACCGTCG